AGTATTTTTAGTAAAGCTGCTAATGTTTTGTTTGAGAAGTTTGTCATTTTTGTTGGCACATGGCAGTGATGTTGTCCCTTCTACTTATCAGTGCTGTTTATAATGCAGGGGCTGCTTTTGTGATGTTTGATCTCCACAGCGCTTAAAATCTGCAATTCACAATTAACCATATAGTAAATGGTTGAACAAGTGACAAATTTCAGCAGCAGATTCTTTCAGATGGTTCAGTTTCTTTGAGAGCATTGACTGATGAGAAGCTGAAATGCAGAATGATGTCATCAAAATTGTTGATCTATATTGGTGGTGGAGAAAAACACTTAGTTTTGAATGCATAAATGCAAATTTTGTCATTGTTTTGGAGTGCACTAGCATATACATATAACTTTACTCTAACCGCCAAAAAACTTCCATTTTGATTTCATGGGGACTGTAAAATAAATGCACTTTGGGTGTGCTATACTGCCCTCTTCTGACCATTTGTGATAATTTTCCTTTACTTTAGTGTAGAGCAGTGGTTCTCAAATCCTGTCTTCAGTGGGTCTCCAGGACTGTAGATGAGAACCACTGGTGTAGTGTACAATTATCATATACTGATCTTTGCAAGTTTTATACAATTTTTTTAAATTATGCAGACTCAAATTTTTGACTTTCCTTTAGTTTGGTTTTTTGCTAAATGTAATTTATTTTAAATCTGAAATGTAAATCTACATACTACGTGATCTTGTTATTCTTTCGGTGGTAGTTTTCATTTGGAATCTAAGGAATATATGGTTTGAGGAGCTTGAAACACATTTATGAGAAAAAAAAAATTCTAAAATTTCCCTAGAAGGAAACTTTTGTACTAACTTTTTAACTTTTTGTACTGATGTACTAAGAAAGTGTTGATATCAAAACTCAGTAGAAATATTACCAACATATCAGAAACAACTGTTGTTTTTCATACAGCATGAACTTTCAGAAGTCAAGGAGAACATTTCAACTTAATTAAGCCCATACTAGCAATGCTGTTTTGCCGGTAAAATTAGCTAATTAAATTGATCTAACTGTAGTATAAAAATGTAATATTAGTAATGTTCACTTGAATAGTGTAGCGGATTTGTCTTTATCAGGACTGCACATGCACACATTCCTCCATGAGCAGAGAACCTGCCCCTCATGCCCAAGTGGTCCGATGGATTCAAATGAATGACTTGCAAGCATCATCATCAAACAAAAACAAATAAAAAATGTAGAAAACAGCAATATTAGAAAAAAATGCAATATTATTCTCTAGGGGAAGCATTTCTGCCCATAGAATGATTTTGAAGAAAAAACAAATTAATCACTAAAAAAAAATTTTTTTTAAATCTAGTTTTAAACAATATATTCAGATCATATTCAGTCTCTTTAATTAAATTTTTCTAATGTTTCAGTGTTGAAATCTGTAATTTTGGCCCTAAATCCCCCACTATAAATGAATAGTACAATTTGTATTTTCTGTTTATCTGTCTATTTTTAACTGCTTCTTTCAAGGTGTTGTGTTTTATTTGAAAAACGCCTTTGACCACAGTGTCGGACTGAGTCCCAAAACACACTCGCTGCCAATCAGCATAAGGGGCGTGTCCAGTAATGATAGGGAGAAGATAGCGCTCAGTGAGGGCACAGGACGGCAGATAAAAAAAAAAGGAGGAACATTTCGGAGTAACAAAACATTAAAAAGAAGGGTTACGAACAGGCAATAGGAAGGACCCTTGTAAATATTGGAGCAGCTTTCCAACTGTGGAGAGAACTCAAGGAGTGGAAGGGAATCCGACGCTGAGGTTGCTTTGTTTTTTCTTGATAGGTGAGTTACCTTGATTTTGCTTTGTTTCACACAACTAATCTGTGTTGGCTTTTGCTTGGATATGCTTGGCCGGCAGGGTTGTGTCATATGGCGCTTTTCCACTGCATGGTACGGTACGGTTCACTTTTGGGGGGTTTTCCACTGAGTACAGTACCTGGTACTTTTTTTAGTACCACCTCGGTTGGGGTTCCAAGTGAACCGACTGTATGGGTTGTGTGCGTACCTGTGGGGCGGAGTTATCAAAATAGGGGCGAGGTCCTGTTGGGGTATGGACGTGTTTGTTTTGGTGCAAAATCAATGGTGATCGTTTGGCAAAATTCGCTTAGTGCACCTTTAATTTATGCAAGGTTTGTTTAACTTGAATGCAGCTTGAATTTAAATTTGTTTTATAATTTACAGACAGAGGAGGTCAGGCCAAAGAAAAATAAAATGGGGAACTCTAAATTATACAGAGAATTTATGAATATATATGTGTGTGTGTGTGTGTGTGTGTATGTATGTATATATATATATATACAGAGAAAACAGTCTCTTTACTTGTACACGCAAATCTGAAATGGGCCTAAAGAATCACGTTATGAGTAATTGAGCAGTTGAAGACTTAGGCTGATCATTAACATGAAACATTAATAACATTATAAATTAATTTGCTAGTCATTAATCATCATGATTATACGTCATGTGTCGATCATTTTTACACCTGGATCCTCCCTGTCGTGTTAATGTAATATCTGTGCCCCTCTCATCAAATAAGGGGTTTTGTCAGACTCTGTATTCCTTATAAGGGAGTTTTGTTTAGTCTCCAACTCCAACTGCGTCTGACTCACCTGAGCGTTTTCAAGTGCCATAAACCATCACTTTTATCTGGCTTCCTTATCACTAACAATTCGGGCGACAATAGGATATATCACAACACAATCATCTTGTAATTAGAGGTGTTTGCACTTGCGGGCAGCAGGTAGAGAGTGGTCATTCAGGACTGATCTGTTTTGAAAGGGTGTATGGGAAGCCATTCAGGAAATAATTATTTTAACCCCCGGTCCTCTTCGTTTGGGAGTCACACTTGGCTCCTTCGTGGTCAAAAGTGACCGAAGACTTGAAATGTAACTTCTTTTTTTTCAGGAAAATCAATTTAATACATGTTTGTTCAATAATATTTTTTTGATATATATGCGTGAGAGCGCGTACACACCTCACGCACCGGATGCCTGCGTGCACTCAAAAGACAGTTGGACATAGTGGTGTATTAGAGGTAAAAAATTATATAATGTTCGGTTTCTCGCACAAACCGATCGTTTCGTGTCTTAGGACATCAATGTGTCGTCAAGAGCCGCAGGGTTTAATTTGGATTTACTCTCATAGATTTTGTTACCAATGCCATGCATTATATGACTGACAGACTGCAACGGCTGGAGTTAAAAATCATCATATGTGTTCTACTGAAGAAACAAAGTCACCTACATCTTGGATGCCCTGGGGGTAAGCAGATAAACATCACATTTTCATTTTTGGGTGAACTATCCCTTTAAGAATTTTTTTTTAGGTATGCTAATAAACTTTGTATTTCATTGGAACCAATGTTTGTCATTTGACCAAGTGAGAACTATTTATATTCAGCCATTTACAATTAATGATCTTTATGAAGCAAATACAACCACTTTTTAGTAAAAAAAAAAACATCATATATAATACAATGACAGGACAAATCCTGTGTTAATTACAATTGGACTGTGTTACTTAAAGCAACTTTTTGTACACGAAAAAATAAAATCATGTGAATTTCAAAAACTTTTAATGTGTTTCTTAATTAACTTAGAATTTTACAAAATATACCAAAAAATTATGGCCATGTTATAAAACGTTTCTGTATTTTGTAAATCTAGATGCACCTATGCCAAAATAAACTTTAAAAAAAACAATGATTCTATTTTATAATGATGTGAGGGGAAAAAACTACCCAAATCCAGCTTTTTAGTCAGTTTCTAGCATAATCTAACATTCCTTAAGTTCATAACTAAATGCTATTAAAAAGACGACCTGGTCTTTTCAAACAGATGACTCAGACAAAATTGGGTGAATCTTAAAGGAATAGTTCACCCAAAAATGAAAAGTACTCACCCTCAGGCCATCCGAGATGTAAATGGGTTTGTTTCTTCATCGGAACAGATTTGGGGAAATTTAGCATTACATCACTTGCCCACCAATGAATCCTCTGCAGAGACAACAGATTGACTTTTTTACTGGAGAAAGGGTTATTATGGATTGACTGGTATTTTGGCCAGAGGCAATGGTTTAAAGTTAAATCAACAAATTGATTTATATCTATTTGGTCTCTCGTTCTTACGACACACATTCAGTGCAGAGGATCAATTGGTGAGCAAGTTATATACTAAATTTCTCCAAATCTGTTCTGATGAAGAAACAAACTCATCTACATCTTGAATGGCCTGAGGGCGAGTAAATTTACAGCAAATTTTCATTTTTGGGTGAACCATTTCTTTAAAAAAAAAGAAACATGACAGGAAAATAAAGCTAGGTTGCCATTTATTATTTATTATCAAACTTAATACAGTGGTGTTGAAGCCTGCTACAGAGAGGCCATTCCAAATGCTGTACCCATGTACATAAAATTATGCATACTCATTCACTTACAAGACATTAATTGCACTAGTTGATGTACACATAACGTACATGCGGTTTCCCTTTTAACACTGACATCAGGAGGAGAGGTGCGGGAACACTAATATATAAGGCAGTTGAGGAATATTTTCTGACATAGCCAGAAGGTTTCAGATGGAATGTAAAGTGAAAATAGTTCCAGCACATCTCTGAAATAAAATGTTTGCATGAGTTAGATTTCCCCAAAAGTCTTCAAACAATTTCTCCCAAGAATACAGTACGCCAAAAAAAAAAAAAAAAAAAAA